CCTACCAGGATAAAATAGACTAATAGTATACTAGAAGTAACTGAAATGCAACTAACATCCTGATTTTACAGATGAACAAACTGAAAGCCAAATAAATTAAATATTTTCCTGAAAGTTATTCAAAAGATAAGAAGCAGATCAAATAAGAACCTGGGACACCAAACTGCTAGTCCAGTAAATGTGCAATTTCCCAGTAACTATCCTAATTCAATATTTAAGAGATTATATTGGTATTTCTAAATAATATATTCAATTTGAATTCTACCACTTACTGCAATGGCAAACTGTAAGTAAACGAATTTCTATTTTCTGTAAGAGATTAAAACCTTTAAACCCATTACCTACATCTAAAAGCTTTGAACTGAAGTACTTCGTTCATTATTAAGTAGAAAGAAATATTATGTGCATAGTATTCAGCTACATACTGCAGTTATTTTGTTTAAAATGGTAAAATAAAACAAAGTGGTGTTAAAATTCCATGTAAACATTACAGAACTTTAAAAATCTAATGCAGAGGCAGTTGAAGTAGCCACCATTTTATCTGTTCTCTCCTAAAACTCTATTACTCTACCATCTGGATCAACTTATTTATTACTCATTTATTTCATGGATTCCAAGTACTTTCCCTCTATTTAGCATCTTTTTAAAATCAAGATTCATCTTATAATCATTAGTGTGTCACAGTTTAAATGACAGTATTTTTTTCTCGGGGTAGTATACAAAATACTGGTGAATTTTAAATATCTTAAGTTTGGTGAAACACAGTAACTGTTATTTAAGTTTTTGGTTTCAGTTACTGTGGCTATATGGGAGAAATGAAAATTACTTTGTAGGATTTTCCCCTGGCTACTGTGTTTTTAGTTTTAAAAATTCAGGATTCCTCCCTTTTCCTCCCCCCAAACACGTGCGCGCACGCACACACAACCCCCCAACACCCCCGTAAAATCTTTCCTTTGTCATTGCAGTGAATGGCAGAACATTGCTCCAGGAGTCAGGAGTCATCTTTGACATTTTTCTCCTCCTCAAATATGTAATCCATCATCTAGAACTGCCAAGTTTATCTCCTAAAGATTTCCCCTTTACTCTCTACTTCTCCTACCACCTTTCTATTCCAAGTTCCATCATCTCTTGCCTAGGCAATTCTAACAGTCCCCCTAGAGGCCCTTCCCACATCTACTTTGTCCCCTGAAATGACGTTTCCATAGAGATCCTAGTTGATCTTTCCTTAACATGACCTGCCAAACGGTCCAGGGTCCACCCCAGTTTGGCCTCCTTAAGAAATCATGTTCTCTCCCACTTACGAGGCCACTAAACATGTTATTCCCATTGATTAAAAGCTCTATCTAAATTTTACCCTTCAAATATCAATTCAAAGTTCGTTTTCTCATGGAAACCTTCCCTGATCCCCTAACTAGGCCTCTCTCATGACATACAACTTTCCTTCACAGCATTTAACAACTGTAATTTAAATGTGTTGTCCATGGGTTAATGACTGCTTTCCACTTTTGTCTGTAACATCTACGACAGTACTGAACTGAATTCCCAGCACCAAGCAAAGCGCCTGCACAGAGATGCTCAAATATTTGTTGAACATGCAACTATTAAGTCTACAGTAACTAACATGATCTCTATAACTCATAAATATCTCATATTTCTTCAATTCAGCATTTTACTATCTTGATCAGTATCACCATCCAAATCAGTCTGTATTTTCTTGCCTCCATACCATGAAAGCAAAAGCTGAGCTGGTATAAATGTAAACATGCTTTTTTAAAAAATTTTTTTAGTAGTAGTAACTTCACTTACATCTTAAAACTCCACTTATAATTTGGTTGTCCCAAAAACACAGCAGTGGATTCTTAAATGAACAAAATATTGGAAAGTTCCGCTATATTCTGCTTGTGTTTTGAAATCTTTATTTTATCTACTATTGTTAGTAAATCAATTGTCACATGTTCAAGTAAGTATTGTAGAGTTTAAACTGCAACTAATTAAATACTACAGGTCTGATTACATGTTATATCACACATGGGGGGAAATGAAATCCAAACAGTACCTGCCAGAATACATTTACACATAAAAATAACAAGAAAGGAAAATATGAGAATGGAGAATGGAACTTTAAGTTCTGATTAGAGAATTTCCTTTTATGTTTAATGTTTAAACATCCAAATAAGCATGATAAATTTTTCCCACAAATATGAAATCAGTGTCCTCAAATTTACCCAACTGTATTGCTCAGTCAAGTGACATAATAAATCAAACACTCAGGTACGGAAAGTAATACTGTGCCATTTTTGTAGGATTCATGAGGAGCCATATCTGTCTTGTTCACCATAGTATCTTTAGTCCCTGGCACAAGCAAGTGCTGAATGAATATTTTCACATGAACGTAGAATAATCAAGTTTGTTTTAAGCTATTTTGCAGGCCTCATCTCTCTTTCTCTTCTATTCCATCTGTGTGTTGTTACTCATTCCTTCTATTAGCAACTGCAAAAGTGGTGAAATATCAGATGATCTATTAAGCTAAAGTTAGAGTAGTGTTAAGAAATATAAGAGATAAAAGCAACTGAAAATAAAAATAGTACCATCCTTTGTTAACAGTAGTAATTAATGAAAAACTGCATTTTACAGCACTCCGATTTACAAATAGAATTAAAAGAATTTTACATATCTATCCTCAATTGTCTCAGCATCCTCTCCATTCCCAAACAATCTTGCAAATAACTGTCTAAGAATTTCTACCAAAACCAGAAACCCAATATTTACCTTACTATATACAAATTAATCTCTACAGGAAAAAATAACAAACAAGCTAAATTTACCTGTATTTGGTAGGGCTGTTGTTAAAGTTATTTCTCATATACAGATTAAAAAAAGAAAGAAAAAAGAGAAAAACTAAAGGACTTCTGCATTTACTACTATGCTCAGGAGTAAGCATAGTATTAAGTAAGGAGTTAGAGTTTTTCTAAAAAGAAAACTCTTATTAGGTTTTTGTGACAAGTGTGTTCTTAAGTGAAAGAAAAGAAAGAATGAGGGAGAAAACGAATCAAAAACTAAGTATCAAAAGTTCAACTCCAATAAAGTACTTAACATTTTTTAAAAAGTTTAATTTGAAGGACTAAATGCTCTTCCCTACATTTGTTTTACTCATTTTAAATACTTTGTTATGGATACCCTTTTTGGAAGATACACATTATTGTGACAAGTATTCCAATATAAGCAATTATAAAAGAAAAGTATCTTGTGAAAAGCACATGTGAAACCAAGAGATACAAAAGTAGAGAATAGAAAAATTACATAATGTGGAAATTGCAGTCTTTTTTAACTACTTAAATCCAAAAGTATCACATTTAAACCTTAACAACATTACAATATTTATAGGTTCCTAATATGACTGCCAGCTTCTTATTAAAAAATAAATTAGCCCTGGCTAGTGGATTGAGTGCAGGTCTGAGAACCACACAATCGCAGGTTCAATTCCCAGTCAGAGCACATGCCTGGGCTGTGGGCCAAGTTCCCCAGCAGGGGGCGAGTTGAGAGGCAACCACACACAGATGTTTCCCTCTTCCTCCCTTCCCCTCTTTCTCCGAAAATAAATAAAAATCTTTAAAAATATATGAATAAATTAAAATGGCCAAGCCATATCTCCCATTTGCAGTATGATATGAAAAATGATATATGTCAGGCACATAGTAAACAGTACTGGGAACTTCTTTAATCCCCCAAATCGCAAGGTTTTTAGTTTTCACTGAAAAAAATGAAGTCTCACCATTTTATTTTCTGACTCTTTAAGGTTTTTAAAAGTCAGACCTTGGGAAAAAAAAAAACTTGCTTGGTCTTTAAAGGTTAAGCAAAAAGCCAGTTTGATAAAATAAAAAATCTAAACGTCTAGTACCCTTACGTTAATACATGAAGTTTAAAAAAGCTGCTTTTAAATGCATTCTGGCCAACGCCAATATTCCAAAGTATCAGGACTCTGAGGATTTAATAATCTGATCATCCTTTCTTTAAAAAATAACAAAAAAGTCACCCTGTGCAATACGGAATTCTAACATCAGTGATTTTACCATGTTTATTTATTTTAAATCTGAATCTTTCAAACTTCCCCCAAACCCACTTACCTTATTACAATGCATTACTGTTCTAATACTTAACTAGGTAACAACAAAATCACTTAAAGGACAAAGTCGAAAACTAATGGAATTTTTTTTTCCTATTTCTCCAAATACACAAGAGTAAATCTGAAAGGTAGAAAGAGACGCCAGGGCAGACAACCCCCGGGGGTTGCGTGTAAAGAGACGGGGGAAAAGATCGAGTTGTCCCTAAGAGCAATGTACTCCTTTTTCAAATACACTTTGGAAAATGCAAACTGAGAATCAGCCTCCTCAGCCCTCTCCACTCCCTCAGGCTGTCAGGAGCTCTACTCCCTCACACCAATCACACGGCAGGCAGGTCCTGGAGAAAAAGGCATCTATCATTCACGGGCCCCCTCCAACCACCCGAATTAACCTTCACCTAGAGGGGCAGTGACTAGGCTGCCTGGCATAACCCTGGGAAAGGAGAGAGGAAAAGTGAACTGGATGGCAAACGCTGGGAACTCCTCTGCCAAGGCTGCGACGACTCACGCCCAGCTCCGGAGGCAGCAGGGGAAGCCATAGCGTGACACCAGCGATCGGTACTCCGCACTAACAAGTGTTCCCACGCCCTCGCCTTTCAGTACTTAACCTTCTCATGCCCTCCCTGTACCCATTCCCACAATTCTAGGAAGCAAAAAAGACGCGAGCAGTTGTTCCTGGAGGAAAAGAGGGAGGCCTGGCTGTCCTGGGAAGGGGCAAGGAGAAGGCGGACTGTGGAAGGCTGCTGGCGCCGTTCTTCCGGGCTGGGGAAGGTCCATCCCTCTAGGCCGCGAAGCCAGGGCCTGGGGTACCGAAAAGCACTGAGTGGAGGCGCCGCCGACAGCGGCGCAGGGGAGACCGCGGCGCGGCACACTGACTCACCAAATCTGGAACTTGAGCAGCGGCCCCGTGGCATACTGCATCTTTAATCTCTTGCTAGGCACGCCGCCCAGGTTGGCCGAGGCATCGCTTCGGACCAAGGCCGACGCCGCCACCAGGAGCAATAGCAAAAGCCTCATCTTATCCAACCTAGCCACTTCAGCCACACTCAGACTAAGACTGCAGCCAGCCCTAGGCCGAGCAGGAGCTGTGAGCTCCTCCCCACAGCGCAGGCGCGATCCGCCAAGGTCGGGAAGGGAGGAGGAAGGCGCCTGCGCAGCCCGGGCGCCTGCGCATGCTCAGGGAGGGAAAATGACCTATTTCACCGTCCTGACCCACCATCTTGGGTGTGTGCAGAGACTCTGGGGTGGAAAGAGAGAAGTAGGGAATGGAAGGAGCAGCTGATGCTATGTTAGAGTAGCCAATTAATTGTAGTTCCGGGCACACCTGGGTTCTACATACAGTTTCATTAATTCGGACATTTATCTCCCTGAGACACTGGAACACCTATTGAACAGTATTGATTCAGGTGTGTGAAAGAAATGAGAAAGCCCGTAACACTTTTGAGGTGCCTTGCTGTGGACTTTAATTCGATCTTATAATTTTTCTTTCTCGTGAAAGAATTTCTTTTAAGAAGGGCTTTGGAAATTTTCAGTCATGTTAAAAAACATAATAATGACGTTACCCATTAATCACCTTTAACAATTATTGGCATTCTGTCTTGATTATCCACAATTCTTTCTCCCCCCAGGAAAGCAAATATCAGATGTCACATCATCTTATCTATAGATGTTTAAACCTGTACTTGTAAAAAACAACTATTCTTTAAAAAACAAAAAATCTGACCACAGAACCACTATCCTACCTTTTAAAAAGTTACTGCTCAAATATTCAGTGTTCAAATTTCTCCTATTTTAGTAAATGTTTGTTTTTCTATTGTTCATTTATTCAAATCAGGGCCAAAATAAAATTAATCTATTGCCATTAGTTTATGCATCTTTTGGTCCTGTCAAAGCCGTTAAGGCCAAGAATACAGCAGGAATTGAAAAGGGTTCTTTTATTATTCATTGCAGTAAAGGAGGACGCACAGCTGGGAAACCAGGCGGAGTGTTAGATTATTATGGTACCTAGGCTTTGATTGGATAATTTGGGGAGAGTGTTGAGGGTGGCAATGAGAAAACTGGTCATAAATTTAAAATAAATCCTCAGTAAGTATCAGTAATTCTGGTTCACTTATCCCATGTATTGCAATCATGAGATGCATCAGAAACGAGTTGGAGAAACAGTTGAACAGGAAGTCTCTCAATAAGGAGTCTCTGATTCTCTCCGGTATGTGGCGTTCCCATACATACATACATACATAATTAAATTTGGTTTGTCCACAATTCCCCATTTTGGTCATAAATCAATTTGAAAGATGCATTAGTGATCAACCTTTTGGTCAGATTAGTGTGCTCTCACAGCACTAGGAAGGCTCATTCCTAGGAAGTCTCAGTATCAACAGCATCTTGTTGAAATGGTGAGCCATTGAGGATGGGGCAATAATCATGGGATATCTGTTGAAGCTGAATTTTCCCCTAAAAAAGGATAGGTAAATGGGAGGCAGTCAAGTTGTTTGGCCTTCATTGGGGGAAAAAAGACATTGGCTCATTTCTATCCTTTGAATTAGCATGATCCAAGTTTTACCAGTAGTCTTATTTTTCTGTATTTGGTGTTTGGTATAGCATGCACAAGCCGTTAAAAGAGTATTAACAGTTCTTTTATACATGTAATCATAAACAGTTAGACTATATAGAAAAACCCAAAGTAACGTTATAACTAATATCATTAACAAGCGGGTAAAGACAGTCAAACAAAATGGATTCTGAGTTCCATATCAGTCGATAGGTATACAAGTCTTAGATAGCCATCTACCTGATATCAACAGTTTCTCACCCTCGCTGAGTCTTTGATGACCACTGTAGGTGGAGGTGTGTGTCAGGGACAGGGGTAGGTATCCATTCTTGGTTAGGCCCCTGATAAAGTCCATTCCAACAAGGTTAGAGAGATGTATATCCTTTCCAAAATTCCCCAAATCTCCAGGTAGCAGCCAATGATCTTTAAAGCTCTTCTCTCCTGGGAGCTCACTATTAAAGGAAGGGATTACTTATTTGGCATTTCCTTGAAGTGACTTTATCAAACCTTGGCATTAGTGTAAGATGTGTCCTTTTAAAATGTCAGTTCATAAATTCCTTCATCTACATGCAGCTTACATGCACTGTGATGACGGCAAGGAGAAGGGAAGAACTAAGCCACCATCTTGGGTTTCCCATAATTCCCAGTTATGGGTTTAATTTACAACCATTATTTACCAATATAATATACCCTAGAAGTTTTTTCATCACTTATTTTACAATGCTTTCCATGACATTTTCATTTTATAACCTTGAAAAACATGTTTCATAGAAATCAAAATCAATTATTAATATGAACTTATTTTTGTAAAACCCAGGTAAAATGTAAATATATTTAATATCAATAACTCAAAGACATGTCTGTTCTTTTTAAACTAACAAACTTAAACTAGCTTTTATTTACTAAGGATTAACCTTAGATCATGTGAACTTGAAAAGCATTTTAGTTTCTGAGAATTTTAGAATACCCAATCTTTACAAGTGCTTGCCTTTAAATTAATTTCAATATTACCATGCAGAGATTGTCAATTATATCATATTTACAATGTACATATATAGATACACATAGGATCAGAGACCATTCAGCTATAAGAAAAACTCACTCATTTATAAAAGTTGGATCTAAATTATGTTTTGGGGGCATTTGCAATTTTTATCTGTCCTTGACAAGTCAAGTTCCAAATGAACTTCCCCTTTTTAATATAAGAACAGCCATTTTTAATACCTCAAAAAAATTGAGTTGACACCTAAATGACATCATAGGTTAATTCATTTATCTCAATCCTCTTATTGAGCCCTGACTGGTATGGCTCAGTTGGTTGGGCATCATCCCACAAAACAAAAGGTCGTCAGTTTGATTCCTGGTCAGAGAACATGCCTGGGTTGTGGGGTTCGGTCCCTGTCAGATCAATCAATGTTTCTCTCGCACAAAACAGCAATGTGCGAGAGAAACATCAATTGGTTGTCTCTTGCACACCCCCAACTGGAGACCTGTCCCATGACCCAGGCATGTGCCCTGACCGGGAATCAAACTGGCAACCCTTCGGCTCACAGGTCGGTGTTGAATCCACCGAGCACACCAGCCAAGGCAATAAAAACCTTTTTTAAAAAATAAATCATTTTGAAGGCTGGAGAGGCCAATTAAATGTTTTCCATTCATTTCGCCTGATTTTATAGCTGGCTTTTTTATTTGCTTTCTCTTTTTATTTAGCTGTCTTTTTCTAACTGTGTGAGCAAAAAATTAATTTAGAAGTATCAAAGGATCTTCATTTTGGCCATCTCAGTATTAATTGGAGACTGCTGTGGGGCTTGTCGCACAATTCCCCATGTTAATTTTGAGATGTGTAGTCTGAACAAACTTCAGGAGAAAACCAGCCTTTGCATTCATGTCTCCAGATGAGCCAAATGTCATGAATGTCCCTATAGGATCACTTCACAGCCTAGAGGAAATTTTTTGTCAGGCAACCCCACAAAGAACCTTAGTCACCTAAGAACATATGAGGAAGGGCCAGCAGTAACTTACCAGATGCCACCAGAACCATGAGCTTTCCAAAGCACAGGTTCATCTCTCAGAGTGAACCCATTCCAGGAATTCCTGCGCTTCTCTCATGGGCTCTGCCAGCTTACCCAGGATTGATGGCATTACCTCACTGGATGTCTTGTGGTGCCCATTTCCACCACTCCATATTCAAGGATCTGAAAAAACTGTCATCATCCTATTGGCCATTTGAGTTGAAGAAGTTCTTTCTCTTTCAGAGCTAAAGATAGTTGAGTCTCTCATTTAACCAGCAAAAATTTTGTTTAGTCTCTTAGCAAACAATCCAATTAAAAGGTTAAAATTAAGAGTAGAAACCCATTTTTTCTTCCCTTTTCCCTGGTTATCACAACATTTAGCTACCTGGAGAATTTTCTAATTTTAAACAAAGTCATGGCCTGCTACTTAAAGCAAGGAGGCCCATAATTCCAAGAAAAGACTCATCCAAGTTCACCCAATGCAAACTGGGGAGCTGGTGGGGCACAGTGGGCTCTTGCTGACCCCTAGCACCAGGCCTGGGTCTGCTGGGTGGTCCTGGGTGGACTTCCTGGAATCCTACTGCACTACACAAAATAAACATGAACTTAACAAAAATGTCAGACCTATTTTAAGAGTTTATTTGAACTAAACTGATGAAATATGCTGGAGAACAAGATCTTAAAGGTCCCAGAGAATAACAGTTCTGCAACTTTTAAGCAAAACAGGGATTGGATTTCAAGATAGTTAAGATTATGTGGGAGAAAGGGAGGGAGGGAGGGAGGGAGGGAGGAGAAAAGAGAAAAAGATTACATGATCTTTGGGGGTGATCATACTTTAGAAGGATAGGTCTAAGAAGGGGCATTTTAAAGGTTAACCTGGATATATATAAACAAGGAAGAGGGCTCGCTTAAGGTAAAAATGAGCCTTACTAAAAAAAATATGTCTGGGGCATGGCCTACCCACCATGACCTGCTCAGTTAGAAATTTATGATTAAATCTCCCTGTGAGGTTACTGCCCATAGAACCCCCTTCTCCCCCACAATAGTTAACATATAATTTTCTTGAAGCCTTAATCAAAAGTACTAGATGCAGAGTAAATTAATATAACCAGCTATTTTCTTCTTTTAAAAATTTTTAAATATCAGTGACATTCAGTATTATTTTATAATAGTTGCAGTATAGTAGTTAGTCTTGTAGCTACCTGGCACCATTCATAGACATTACAATATTATTGTCTGTTTTCCCTATGCTGTATTTTACATCCCCATGGCTATTTTGTAACTACCAATTTCTACTTCTTAATCCCTTCACATTTTTCATCCAGCCCACCAATCCTCCTCCCATTTGGCAGCCATCAGTTTGTTCTCTGTATCTATGAGCCTGTTTCTGTTTTGTGTGTTTGTTTATTTTGTTCTTTAGATTCCACATAAAAGTGAAATTATATGGTGCTTGTCTTGCTCTGTCTGACTTATTTCATTTAGCATGATACCCTCTAGGTCCATCCATGCTGTCGCAAATGGTTAAGAGTTCATTCTTTTTTATAGCCAAGTAAAATTCC